ATTATATAACCTAAATTTGTTTGCATAGAAGATAGGTTCAAGTGTTTTATACCCAATTAAACAAAGCAAATAGTTTTAGCATTAGTAATATACAACTCAAGTGAACACATAATTTTATGTATAATATAAAAACTTTTGAAGCCAATTTTGTTTTCTATAGAGATTTGAAATAACAATAAAATAGCTTTCTAATATTATAATATAATAATTATATAATTATAATATTTCTAATATTGTAAAATCCAGTGGAATCACTGAAGGAATTAAGTAACTTCTCTTGGAGCTCAAAGTAGGACACTTTGAGAACTTGTAGTTTGGTAGTCAGATTCATGTGTCTTACTTTATTCTTAGATAAATATTTAATAGGCAATTGCTCTTGAAAAATAAAAGACTATAACAGATCTATATTTACAAATCCCTTTCAAGTGAAGATATATGCTACCAATTGTCAGCTGAATATTCTTGGACTTAACTACTTTTACATTTCTTCTTTAAAATTGTTGTCATTTTATTATATCCTTATGCATCATTTTCTTGTTATAAAGAAGCAATAATGGAAAATAAACTTATTATTTCCACAGATGCAAAATAATGTTTTCATTCATTACAATGTTCCTTTGGTTCTATGTGATTTTGTTCACTTTCTCTTGAAACAGGTGTTTACTTCTATACTTTTTTATCATGGAGGTACTTTTCCTTTAGTAACATAAAGAAAGCAAGTTTAATAATCACTACAATTTTAAAAACCTTATTGAACACTATCCCTGTCACTGTCCTCCCGTTGTTTATCGATTTGCTTGAGCGGGCCCAGTAACGTCTCCCTTGTGACAATTGTTACTCTGTTTGGCATATCGAATACACCATGGGAGCTTGCCCAGCTTTGCCATGCGGGTGAGATACTCTTGGTAGCTTGCCGGGGTCTCCCAGAGGGGCGGAGGAATCGAACTCGGGTCGGCATGTTGGCCTCTTCAGTTTGCTTTAGCCATTCTTGTCTCATTACAATTCTTCAAATATTACAAACATACAGTTTTGGAAATTTTAAATTTCATTGCTGTCTTTGGAATGTCTTCTCCTTCATTTAATCCTCAGTTAAAATGAAATCTTCGGAGAGACATGTCTGTTCACAGTTTCTTAAATATTACTCTTGACATAACACAATTTCTTTCTCTAATTGCTAGATATTTTGTCACACTAAAATGTCTTAATTGATACTTTCTACTTTTTTTTTTTGGTTTGTTCAATTTCACCTATCCATCCTACATGGATTATAAATTCCAGAAGAACAAACTTCATTTAATTCATTGTTTTTCTTTTTCCTGGCATCTTGTAATTAGTAGATAATTATTTGAGTTAGTCATTAATCTTTGAAATGTAATATTAACATTACAGCTACTAGGTTTTGACATGGCATTTCAAAAACCCTGTTTTGTAAATTGTTGTACTTATCACTTCAGATAGAAGTGTGAGGAAGAGCAACTGCACTAATCTTTCCCCAAATCCACTGTATTTTATTGTACTCATCACAGAAAGAAATTTTCAAATGTAGAGTACTGCTCTAAAGAGATCTCCCTGTGAAATAGACTTTAATAATAATTCTCTACCTCATTCTACAACTTAAAATATTGAAACTCATCAAAAGCATATTTTAATTAAAAATTAATTTATCAGATGTTTAAAGGAAGAGATATTTCAGATAAGCACAATTCTTGTGGACATAAGCCTTTCTTGGTTGCTGAAATTGCATTTCATTTATTTTTGAAAATATACAATGCATAAGACAAGAGCCTAGACATTTTCAGAAACAAGACAAGTTGTCATCATTAATTAAGCTCAGATTTGTGTAAATTGGAATATTTATGTCTAGTTTCTGAAATACCTAGCTAATTATTTTGTTTATCTATTTGTAACTCACCCATCTTGTATTTGTGTTTCAGTCTCTAAAGCTGTCTCAGTTTTAAGTATTTCCATCTAAAACAAAAGTAATGTGCTACTTAAAATTTATTGCTTTACTTCAATAATTTGAAAGATTAGTATCAGTTTTTGAGATATTCTATTTTCTTTTAGTGTTTCTCTTATATAAAAAAGCTTCACTGTAGACTTATTTAAGTTAATTAGTGGTGCCCGAAAGATAGTGCAGCAGAAACAGTGCTTGTCTTGCACAGAGCTGACCCAGGTTAAGTCCCTCAGACCATGGTGACCCTTGAAAACCACCAGAGGAGATGTGGTTCAGAACAAAACAAAGTATAAACTGATAACAGTATCATGTTTAATTATTGCCTAATTTTATGTTTCTTGTTGGCTTACCAGTGTGTTTATTATGAAGAGACCAGAGCAGACACATGGAAGAGGAATCATGAGAAGACTGTTTCTGTGATTCTAGGTGTTCCACTTTCCTAGTACCTTCATGTGGAAGTATCGAATAGTTATTTATCACTATAAATAACATTATAGTATCTTAATTGAAAAATTAATTTTAAACTTGGGCAATCTAACTAACAGGTGGTATGACTGCAATACTCCTGGGAGTCATTTTTCATTTACTGGGTCATTTTCCCTAAATTGACCCAGTATTTCAATTAAATAATTAATTTGAAACATACAATTGGAGAGCTATTAAAAGCAAACAGATGATTCTGGGTTTTTGGAATTTCTTTATAAATCGGTCTGGATGGTGAGATACTCTTTGGGAATAGGAAGATAATATCTGTAATCCTGAAATCACATTACTTCAGAATTCTGATTTTTCAAAGAATATTTCTTAATGTACCTGGAGAAAACATGATTATTATTCATGAAACCCCATATGTTCTTTCCTGCTCAAAAATGAAAACACAGATCACTTTGCATAAATACATTCTAGCAATTTCAGGTAATTTCAGGCAAGTATAAGGGTAAATTGTGGTTGATATTATAAAGGGGAAGTGACGATCATTTACCTAAAACATTCCAATACTTCATTTTCATTCCATTTTTAAAAAAATGTAGCATATATGATCTGGACATAACTATAAAGTAAGTTTAATATAAAATGTTTAATGATGTGGGGAATTGTTAACTTCAGTTTTCAAAGGTCATTTCAGCCGAGTACTTTTACCTTGCTTTCTTTTGAAAGATTAATTCTTTAGCTTTTGTTCTGTGAAAGTATTTTTACTCAACTTCCAGATCACTTGGTAAGTAATACCCAGGTTATTTCTGAAATGTATACATTTTCTTGTCATCACAGTATCTTATAGTATCTTGCCTTTTTTCAAATTGAAAATTTCATCAAAAGAGATATGTTTTATTTAAATTACGAGTGAAGTTGAGTTGTGTTTGGTAATTGCACTAAAAGCTAACATTTTAATAAAACTTTCCTTATAGCTAGAAAATTATTTAATATATAGTCAAATAATACTTTTTATTAATGTAGCATAGTTATAATAGTCTTAACCTTTATTATTTTGGTCTGTGAGCTCACTGCTCCTTATTACCGACATACCAAAGAACCGCCACTATTGTCCTTAGTGCCATTTCTAATCCACATCTCCCTCTCCCTCAGTTCGCCTCCCTGTACTACCGGATTGATCATCTCAGTTCTGTAACTAAAGTCCAGGAGTTTGTTACCAATAGATACTGCCGTTTCCCTTGTTTTCTTTTGTTGTATACCAGGTGTAAGTGTGCTCACCAGGTGTTCACTGTTTTCTCTCTAAGTTTTGTTATTTAAAATGACACACTATTGTTTCATCCAAGTTGTATCAAAAGGTAAAATTTTATCTTGTCTTATAGTTATATAGCATCTGTGCATATTTCATGTTTCGATTTTTATTTCCTTGATAAATTGTAATGGGGATAACTCCATATGTGCACTGGCTGTATGCATGTCTCCTTTGAGGAAGATTTCCTCTCCCCATTTTTTAGTCAGATTGAATTGTTTGATTTTTGTGGTTGATGCTGTTGAGCTTTGTGAGTGCTTTGTAGATTGGTATTATACTCGCCATCTAGCAGATGCATGGTGGGCATGTATTTTTTCCAGTCAATAGGACGTCCCTTTTTCTACCAAATTTCTTTCAATGATGAACAATTTTTGAGAATGCTGTGATCCCCTTTGCTTAGTTTTGCTATAATTTTAATCACCAATGGAGTCAAATCATTGAGGCGATGGTGAGATTGATATCATGCAGAATCCTGCCAAAGTTTTCCTTGATAAATTTTATGAATTCAGGTCCAATATCAATGGCTTTTATTTATTTTGAAGTAACTTTTGTGTTTGGTGTAAAAAAACCCTTCCATATCTTTTCTTAGAAAAGTGACCATTCTATATTCCCAACATAATTTGTTGAACAGGCTTTTTTATTTTTAAATCTACTGAAGATACTTAGGTTCTTTGTAATTAATTAATTTTTTATACATACAAAAGTCTTAAGTTATGTAATGATAGCATTGATTTGTAGTTCCAGTTCACTAAGCATTGACAGTTGAAGAAGTCTCTTTCAATTATAAAATGACTTTTCCCTATATATACTTATACTAACATGTACATATGGTATTAAATCACCTGGAATTTCTTAAGCTCCAATAAAAATTATGAATCACTGAACACATTTCCCAGAGACATATTTTAAAGCACTCTCAGGTATCTCTATTTCATTCTCAGTTAAGGCAGCCACTTTCCTATAACAAAATATAGCAGAAAAAGAAATACATCGCTAAAAGTAGTTAAGAATTTATGATTTTGTATTGTATATGGTAAGTCAGTAGATAAAATTCAATAGTAATTAGAAATAATTACCTAAATATTACTGGATTATACAATAGGTTCTTTATTCTAGATTTCTTTGTATCAGTTAATTTTGTACTTCTCTTCTTACCTTTATTGTTTTTATACTGGTTGATGGAAAAAATAGGAAAAATGAAAGCTTTATTTTTCATATTAAAATATGTTACAATCAGATTTCAGAAGAAACATGACCTAATTTCATATTAAAATTTGAATATATTTTATTTTTTTAATTTATTTTTTCCACTGTACTTGGATAGAATTAGTGAACTCAGTAGGATCTGAAGTTATACATTTCTGTCAGTACAATTACTCTGGCAAACCTGGTTCTCCTCACTCCTGCAACATCATAAACAGTTAGTGATTGAGTTTGTGCAAAATTTGAATACATTTTTAAGCATCTTACATTTTCTAGAATTAAACATACTTTTATTCAAAATATATTTAAACAATAAAATAGGTTTATTTCTCATTAATCCGCAATGAATATTCTCATAGAAAAATTTAAAACATTGAAAATAAAAATAAAAACTATTTAACACAGTACCTTTCAGAAAGTATTATATTTACATTGGGAATATTCAGTTTTTCTGTGTAAACAGTTCTTTGCACAGTTTAAAATGATGTTGTTCTTTTTAACCTGATTTTCTTTCAATATTATCAATGTTGGTATGGGAACATAACACTAGACCTTCTTTTATAAGCTGGTTTAAATATATAGCATTCCATAAATGGTTATTCATTATTTATGGATTATATCAGATTAGACTAAAAGATTTTTTTTTGCTTTTTGTGTCATACCCGGCAATGCACAGGGGTTACTCCTGCCTCTGCACTCAGAATTACTCTTTGAGGTGCTTAGGGGGCCATATGGGATGCTGGGAATCGAACCCGAGTCGGCCACGTGCAAGGCAAATGCCCTACCCTCTGTGCTACCCTTCCAGCCCCATAGACTTAAAGATTTTTTATACATTTTGGCTATTATAAAATATTCAGTAGAGCTTACTTAAAAGTATATTTTCATATAGAATTCATATCACTGTAAGATACATTAGGTAATCATTGCATTGTTTTCAGCAGTAATTGAGGCTAGGAAATGAATAGAGAATAGAATTTAAAAATATAATTCATTTCTAAAAGTTAAAAATCCCATGGCCAAAAATTACTTCAATAAACACTTTCTAAAAATAACTTCCATTTTTATAATTTCTTTTTTTTAAAAAGGAATTTTGATATTTTGAAGATATAATGAAACTAAGGTTAGTGTAAAACTCATGTATGTTAAGAATTGTTAGGTTGTGATGTAATTCAAATATTAATAAGTTCTGTTAGTTTTGTGTCTGTCTCAGAAATGAGAGTTTTGCTGGTGTTTTACTTTCTCCAAATGTGGCAAGATGTTATAATGTAATCTGGACCCCAAGAGAACACAGAATTCATTATAAAATCTCTTGTCTCAAACGTAGTAAAGAAGATTATCTGTCATTTTAAAATTATATTTTCATATTTGAACATCAATTTCTATATCTTAGGACAGACAATCATTCTTAGCATTTGTAAAATAAAGGAAGATAAGGCTATAAGAGCTATAAGAGATAGTACAGCAGGTAGGAGGATTGCCTTGATGCAGCCAATGTGGGTTTCTTCCCTCGCATCCCATTTGGTGCCCTGAGCATCAGAAGGAGTATTTCATGAGTACAGAGCCAGGAGTGAACCCTGAGCATCACTGGGTGTGACCCAAATTGAAACAAAACAAAATATGAGACTATAAAGATGGCAAATATTTTCCTGAATTGTTGAAAACATTCTAATTTTTTCTTCCTTGTGTTTCATTGAAGTGGGATTGGCCATACACAAAAGGATTGATTTAACCCTCTACTATGTCTCTCCTCCCGCTTTGTTGCAGTTTGTTTTTTGAGCTGCAGCTCAGGACTTCCTTCTGACTCTACACTCAGGGATCTCCCCTGGCCAGATTACAGGACAAAATGGGGTGCTGGGGATCACATCTGGTCCGCTCAGCTGAAAGCAAGCACCGTACCAGTCACGACCACTCCAGCTGTCTCCTCTCACTTTTCTTGTTTATTCACAAGTGCTTCCTCATTCATTAATGTTATTAAAATTTTATCACAAATTACCACACTTCAGAATGTTGTCAGGTCCCACTTCTAATTCTAATTTTCTTCTCTTTTTTGCTGGGGTAGCAGGTGTGAAGCCCCCTTGTGCTCAGAGTTTTCTTCGGGCTCTGTGCTCAAGAATCATTGCTGACTGAGCCAGGCGTGCCGTGTGTGGTGCCAGGATTGACCGTGGTCAGCGGGGTGCAAAGGCAAGTGCCTTAACTCTTCTTACATCTCTCTGGCTCTTCCTCAAATCTTCTTAGTTTCTTCAATTGCTTCTTACTTTGGAATCTTATATGCTTCAAAGTTTTATTTTCTTTATTTACTTAAATAATAAATAACATTGGTGGTTATTCCCTCCAGTGTTCTTGAACTCATCAAAGTCATAAGTGAAGATTGAATTAACATCCTTAAAACTTCCATCAAGAATTTTACTTTTAGTCATTGCCACAAATCACATATTCTTAGTGTTCTTAGTTGCTTCTCGATGGGTCCTTCCTTCCTTCCTTCCTTCCTTCCTTCCTTCCTTCCTTCCTTCCTTCCTTCCTTCCTTCCTTCCTTCCTCTTTTGCTCTTTCTTTCTCTCTTTCTCTTTCTCTTTTTCTCTCTCCCCTCCCCTCCTCCTCCCCCCTCCTCCTTCTCCTTCCCTTCCCTTTCCCTCTCCTCCTCTTCTCTTTTTTCCAAGTAATGCTTTTTAAGAAGCCCTGGTGTCCTACTGATGATTTTTAGCTAAACAGGCCAGTCGTTCAACACAACCCTGTGAGTATTTGGTGCCAAAGATTCTTTAGGCCACTAAAGCAGTGTTTGAGGGCCTCCATTACTGCATCTAGCAATGCTGGGAATGAGGGTGGGGGTGTTGTGCTGGGATCCAACAGGTTGGACACATATAAATATAACATTTATACTATTTTACCACTTCTCAACGTTGAGTTCTTTAGAGTAAGATGCTTTTGACTTTGCCCAAATGCTAAGAATCTGTGACAAGTACAGACTTTCATGCACCCTATTCTTTCAGATGATTTGTTAACTGAAACTGCTTATTTATCCAGAGGCAGCAGGATGGATGCTGCTATTAGGCATCATTATCACTATCACTACCACCCCCTTGTTCATTGATTTGCTCGAGCGGGCGCAGGTAACATCTCCATTCGTCCTGCCATGTGCTAGTGTAGCCTGATGGCATATTGGGGGCTCTTTCAGGGTCAGGGGAATGGGGACCATCATTGTTACTATCTTTGGCATATCAAGTACGCCACGGGCAGCTTGCCAGTTTCTGCCGTGCAGGTGGGATACTCTCGGTAGCTTGCCGGACTCTCCGAGAGGGATGGAGACTTTTGGGGCAGCCTCTAATCACCTTTACAGGTGTTCACAGTCAGGCATATATGTGGGCAGGAGACTCTCGGTAGCCTGCTGGGCTCTCTGAGAGTGAGAACTAAACAAAAAAAGGTCATGCAGCCGAGAATGTGGCCACGTGCTTCCAGGAGCTTGGTTTTATAATCTCTGGATCTTGGCCGTTAATGGGGTTACACGGCAATTGGTGGGTGTAACTGTCTAGCTACTGGAAGACGGGGAAGACAAAGGCTATAGATAGTACCTCTCAGACTTTTTTGTGGTGTGGTGGTAGAAATGTGTATGTGCTTTTGGGGAGTTAAGTGGAAACTCTCGAAGTAATCCTCTACACTCATAACATACTTCATGAGTCAATCAATAAAGAAGACGCCACAGTGAAATAACCACAAGCTCTAATTTTAGTAAATTTTATCAGTTCTAAGTGAGATGGCTTCCACTGAAATGTGTATACCATCACATACTCAAAGGTGGCATAAAAATGAAAGTTTCCTGCAGTAACATGACAGGGTTATTCTGAGGGCACATACCATCTTTACTCTTCAAGGTAAACACTGTGACCAGTGATTAAGTGACACCTCAGGACCCGTTCTATGTAGTTAACCTCTTCTGGGAAACTAAATGTAATCTAGACACAGGTCTATAGAAGATATTCTGCTGTCCAACTAATTCCAGTATACTCCATGAAACTTTAACATCCAAAGCACAAAACAGTTGAAATTATAAATTGTATAAAATAACCAATATATTCTTAGGCTTAAAGGCAGAAATCTAGAAGACTCAGAAGTTATATGTCATATAAAAAGAGCAGTCAATTCATTTAAAAAGGATAATGTGTACTCATATTCATGGCAGGTCTATTCTAAAATAGCAAAAAGGTGGAAAATGATATTCGTAATGATAGTTTGAAGATTTATAATGCAGTTAATATTTCCAGGTAGACATTTTCAAAAAGATCTAAATGCATCTTACATTTTATTTATATACATTTGGTAACTACTCATCAAGTACAGGTAATAAGATATTCTAGCTGTATAAGTAATACAATACATTCTTTCACTATCTCATATTAAGAAAATATCTTACCTCTGGCAGTCAAAAATGTCAGATTGTAGAAAAATAATGATTCTTATTTTTTAAGGTCAATTTTACAGTTTCTTCCCTCTTTGTACATTTCTCTTCTGTGTCAAAAATGATTTCAGTTCTAAATATAACTTAATACAAAAGATATCACTTTGTCATCATTTTGCGCTGAGGTGAGTGATATATCTAGTTTATATTTATACTCAGTTACAAATGATTTGGTGCCTTATAAAGGTACTTTAGCTTTGGAAAGATAATATTCATAATTTTTTTCTTGCAGAATATTATTTCATTAGTTACCTTTTAAAACTCTGGTAAGCTTTAGAATGGTCCAGTTCACCATTTGTATTTCCTTTCAGTGTGATGATGAAATATGAAATATTAAAGAGATAAGAGAAGATAAGGAGATGGGGTTGTCAATCAAAAGTATTTTAGTTCTAAATATTTATATCTTAATGTCCACTGTCCTGTCCTCTCGTTGTTCATCGATTTCCTCGAGCGGGCCCAGTAACATCTCTGTTGTGAGACTCGTTACTGTGTTTGGCATGTTGAATACGTCACGGGTAGCTTGTCAGGCTCTGCCGTGCGGGCGAGATACTCTCGGTAGCTAGCCGGGCTCTCCGAGAGGGGTGGAGGAATCGAACCCGGCTCGGCCGGGCTGGCTGCACGCAAGGCAAATGCCCTACCGCTGTGCTATCCCTCCAGCCATATCTTAATGATAAAGAATAAATTTGGGGATGACACCCAGCAGTGCTCAATTCATATTCCTGGCTTTATGCTCAGGGATTCACGATCACGATCATCCTGTTGTTCGTCGATTGCCTTGAGCAGGCACC